CACGCGAGTAAGGTGGACCGGTGACTGGCGGCAACACTCAGCTCCGCCCAGCTTATCACCTACTCTTTGTTGCCCATCCTGCTGTTTAGATAGTACTTGTAGTTCCCATGTGGACCACCGTACATGTATTGACCTAATGGACAAGTGGAAAGTAGAATTTGTTACTATTGAGTTTGGACAAACCTGGAATGGTTGTGTATTTATGTTGCAAATAAAAGTTAGCCTAACCTAAAATATGAAGTCAGTTATAATAATAATAATAATAATAATAATAATAATAATAATAATAATAATTGATTCACAAGAAGGTACAATGGGTTGGTGAGATTACAAAAGATTGGTATTTTTACATTCTTGCAAAGCCACTAACACGCAAAGCGTTTCTGGCCGGTCCTTAACCTAATATATCAGATAAAATGAAAGGGTACATTGTAGCAAGGTTTTATATCAACAAATAACTAGAATATAAGTTGACGGAGGTGAATACACTGGTAAAGATATATGTTTTAAGTACTAATATTGGGGATTTTTTATTATTATTATTATTATTATTATTTTCATCCACAGATGTGGCCACACATTTACAATGCTAAGCAGTATATATACATTTTCTTCTTTCCTCCATGGACAGGGTTAGAGATGTGTTAAACATATAGTTCAGGGATTTATTGAACACTCAACCGCAGAAGTTGATTGAAATGCTTTTAAAATGCTAAGCTAACCTACATACGTAAATACATAGATATACAGATTTACGCCTGCCCTACATAAAGTGTTCGATGTGTCTTTTACATAGTGTCATTAATGTGCATTTACAAAGGTGAAATGTAATTCTGATCAGCTTCCACATATTCTTTATACACATACATACATATACATACACACATATACATATACACACACATATATACACATACATTTGTCTCTCCTACTTTCACATGGTGAGATAGCTGATAGAGAAACTAGTGTGTAATTAAGCACTTAACCACTGAAGGTGATTAAGATGTTTTCACAAGCTCAGGTTATAATGTTACATCACATACATACATTGTATAATTGATACATTACATACTCAATCTTGGGTACAAGTTCAATATATCATTAAATGTTCCAATATTCATATAGTAGTTACAGAGTTCAGCATATCTCAGCCCAGGAGGGCGAAAGTCAGTCAATATGGGACATTCTACACGAAGTGGGTAGTACAAGATATAGTGTGAGTTTGAAGCACAAGGCAGGAAACTACGAGGATGAAATTTGGTACTTTTTGGTTTTACTTTTGAATAGGGCATATGTTGGACAATTTTTTAATTCATCAGGGAATGAGTTCCAAAGAACAGGCCCTTTTATTTGCATGGAATGTTTGCACAGATTTAGTTTGACTCTTGAGATACCTAAGAGATATTTATTTCTGGTGTGGTGCTCATGGGTTCTATTACACCAATCAAGGAAAAATTTCAAATCAAGATCAGCATTTAAAAACAAGGTTTTGTACATGTAAATAGCATATGACAATGTGTGGAGTGAGAGTATGTTTAGCATGTTAAGGGACTTAAACAGATGGGCTGTGTGTTGTCTGAAGACAGAGCTTGTTATAGTTTTGATAGCAGAATTTTTCTGGGTGATGATGGGCTTAATCTCACTCCACAAATTCTCTTGTGTCAACTACATTTACAAAACCCTGCTCTTAAATGCAAATCCTGCTCTGAAACTCTCCCTGAACAGATGTAATAAGACCCATTATCACCACACCAGAAATAAATATCTCTTTGATATCCCAAGAGTCAAACTTAATCTGTGTAAACACTCTATGCAAATAAAGGGACCCAGTCTATGGAACTCACTCCCTAATGAATTGAAAAGCTGTCCAACTTTTGCTTCATTCAAAAACAAAACTAAAAAGTACCTAATTTCATCTTCATAGTTTTTTACCTTGTTGCTTTAAAATTGCACTGTATCATTTGCTACCCAATCTCCCAATCTTTATGTACCCAATCCGAACATCTTTACCATTGTAATCATTGCTGTCTTCTTATATGTGCTATCAATCTGCTGTATGCTGCCTATTAATCTTGTTTAAATTACCAATCAAGCTGTCAATGTAACCAATCAGAACTTTAATATACCAATGTGCTTTAACTTACTAATCTCTCTCATCTCATTTTTTTTTTCTTGCAATGTATCTGTTATCATTTTATTAATTCTGCTAGAATTTACCTACTTAAAATTATCTGTTAGATTAAGGACCTGCCCGAAACGCTGCGCGTACTAGTGGCTTTACAAGATTGTAAATACTATGTTATGTATTCTCACAATCCCAATGCACCTTCTTGTATATAAATAAATAAATGAATAAATAAATAAATAAACATCTGGTATATGCACTACAATTCACCTTACATATGAACACAATTCATAGAATCAAAAGCAACTAATATAAAATGAAGTATTAAAATTTATAACAAATCCAAAGTAGTTGACCACTATAATTTGTATCAATTTTGTTCCTATATTTCCTGAGCAATCCGTCCCATTTCTTTCTGATTTACCTGTTTATCCAGCCCGTCCTCCTAAGGTTTCCCAACGTCAGGAAACTGTCAAGTTTATTACATATTGGCCGTCTGGTTGATCAATGTTGTCATGAGTCTGCTGCATTAATATTTAGCAGAACTAGGCTGTTGTTGAGTCTCGTCACGTTCCCAGGACAGACCACTTCTACTCTCTCATTATATAAATAAATATATATATATATATATATATATATATATATATATATATATATATATATATATATATATATATATATATATATATATATATATATATATATATATATATTAATGGCAATATATTATCAGACTTTATAACAGGATAAAAAAAAACACATGTATTTTGGTTAAAGATTTAAACATCATGTTTTTTTGCACACGCCTGAATACACTATCAAGGTCTGAGTATGTGGTTTGGACAAGACATACATCTTAACGACTAATACGGTTCCTATGTAACACCCTCTAAAATGTAACACCCTCTATAATGTATACTAAACTAATAATGTACACACTACTACGTATCCTGAGTAACACTTCCTATCAGTTGCACTTGGTAACACTGTTATTGAACACTGTAATATGAGCTGACATATGATGGTTACACCGGAACCAAAAGGTACACTGCCAACAAGGAAATGCTACACAGTATTAAATACGCTGCCACCATCTGCCTTTGACCATTGAGACTATATCAAGCAACGAGGCAAGAAACATTGCTTGACTTGGAGAGTACTTTCTATGACTCATTAATTATGGGATGGTTGTCAGCCACTATATCCAAAAGGCTAAGAGGATTCAACAATTGACACAGACGGGAAATTTAACATGAGTTTATTGAGATACCAAAATTATGCTAATCCCAACTTATAAATCCTACTCTAACACTGGCCAAAAGTTAAGAAATTTGGACACGGAACAAAACCTCAGAGATCACACACATTACCTTAAGACCTCTGTCTCTCCCTGGCTGAGATGTTCTTCACAGACCCGCTCTCGATCCCGGAGGTTCTGTAGAGACTTAGTTGACAGAGAGTGCGGGACAGAGAGTTTAATCCTGTGTAGCATTTCCTTGTTGGCAGTGTACCTTTTGGTTCCGGTGTAACCATCATATGTCAGCTCATATTACCGTGTTCAAAAACAGTGTTACCAAGTGCAACTGATAGAAAGTGTTACTCAGGATACGTAGTAGTGTGTACATTATTAGTTTAGTATACATTATAGAGGGTGTTACATTTTAGAGGGTGTTACACCTATCCTGAATCCAGTCCTCTTATTCTTCTTGATGTTCCCGATATACTACCGCTCACATGATGAGTATTGGGGTGCACAATATACTACCGCTCACAGGATTAGTATAATCTGAATCCGATGCGCTATCCACTCAGCTGTCGACATGGATGAAAAGCTGTTACCCATGCAGCAGGTCCTCCCTCTCGATGATGCTGAAATTGTCCAATGGAAAGGCAACCGCCAATAAGCTTGGTTCCAGCGCCGTCGCAGGAGCTGCCAGAACAACAACGAACTGCCTTAGGGGCTCCAGCTCCGGATTCTTCCTTGAGGTTGACTCCTGAAACCCATCCCAAAAGTGGGTATGGCCGCGAGGCAGCGGAGGTTTGAGATCAGCGTTTTCCTTTCCCTGGATGAGCTGCCTTCCCGGGAGGGCTGTCGAGTCCCATCTCCCCGGAGCAGCTGGTTGTAGGGCGTCAGAGGTACGACCTCATGCACGAGGACGAGGACCTGAAGGACCGCCCCTGGTACTACTCCTGCAGCAGGCTGGTAGCCTCGCTGAGGGCCCTGCAGAACCTGCCGGGCGAGGACTGGGAGTCCTCCGCCGACTACCACACACAACTCAAATATTATAATATTAATGTGATCATTATTATTATAATTTGAAGTGATAGTACTACATGAGTAAGGTGCACAATATACTACCGCTCACGGGATGAGTACTGGGGTTCACAATAAACTACAACTCACCGAATGAGAGCACTGTAAATAAACTGTATAGCCCACAGATTGAATGTGGCGTGCACAATAAAGTACAGCTCACAGAAGAAGTATGGAGTACACAATATACTAACTTACTCAGGATACGGCAAAATAGCACAATTATCTAGCCGTGTCTGCATTGACGATAATGACAAAATTAGAACAGGGGAAGATAAATGTCAGGAAATTGTTATTGTGTGAGAGCGAACGCTTACCTTTCCATACATCATACAGCTGCCCCAAACGTTATGCGTGTTAGTTGCTTTGCAAGAATGTAAAAACATAAACGTTATATACTTTCATAAATCTAATGTACCTTCTTGCACATAAATAAATACATAAATAAATAAATATATATACAAGCAACAGTTAACCTACCTGGCTCACTGGGTAATCAGTCAAGAATCCCCTTAACTAGCAGAACCAAAATAAAAAAGAAAAACAAATTAAGGGTAAGAAGATATAGGAGATAAGGTACGTCTGGAAACGCAATAAATATTATTAAGATGTGGCAACTGACCGGTGACTCGAGGTGGGCAGTTGCCAGTCAGTGTTGTGCAGCCGCGGGGAGCAGGTGTGGTTCCCGGCTCTGTCCCTCTGTCCTTTTCTGTAGGTATATACACCTGTGCCTTGTTATACGTAACTCATTTCAAAATCCCATAAGTGTGTAGCAAATTAGTATGTGTGTGTGTGTGGTAATGAGTAGGTAATACACAAGGGTGGATGCATCCCGGTTGAACTATGGGATGGAATAGCCTTGTTGGGTCAGTGACAGCACCCGGCGTCTTCAAGGCTCGCCCTGGGTAAACAGCCCCTCTCCGCCCACCCTGGCCTCCTTGGGTTTTCCCAAGGTCAACAAACTGTCGCACTAAAGTGCCCTAATCCTAACCCACCAGAGGACCCAAAACAGAAAACGGGACATTTGGCGAGCCGCTATCATTTTCTAGTACGACGATTTTTTGTCCTTAGGGAGAGTATACCTCGTTATTGTTTTAGATTTAGCTACTCAGAACGAAGTGTCCATGTAGCACGGGCTATGGTGAGCCCGTAATGAGTATACGTCAAAACGCGACGTTCAAATAGAGGACGGGTTCCGCCGCCACCAAGTGTTGTGGGTGACAGAGCACATCATAGAGAATGTTTCAGAGCACATCATAAAGGGTGTGACAGCAGTCCGTTCTCCCGAGCGTTCACACATCACCTAAACTGTTGAACTAAATTGCCCAAACCTAACCTACCCGAGGACCCACGAATAGAAAACGGGACATCACGTCACTTTCGCGAGCCGCTGCCATGCACATTAGTTTTTGGCTTTGGGGAATTGTACATCAAAATTCGATGTACTATTCGGGAGAACGTGTTGATGCCCACGCGAGTAATGCGCGGAACAGGAAGAGGCGTAACGGAAGTTTTAGAGTTTTTAACTAGATGAAAAGTGACTTGATAATCTTATCAAGCATATGTAAATGATTAAAAGTGGCTCACAATAGTTGTCGAAAGTTGTTATAAGCGAATTAGGCGTTTTGTCGTTCATTTCCATATTCAAACACTACTACACCTCAGGCCAGTCGAGGCTGGGGCTCTACACCCAACAATTTTTTTTTTTTACTCGTACACATTAGAGGGGTACGAGAGCAGAAGTGTTCTTTAGTTCGTTTAGTTCTTTTAGTTCTATAGTTCTTTAGAAGTTCAGTCGATTAAGGCAGCGTCTGGGATGCTCTCGGACGCAGGTTCGAATCCTCGTCACGGCCCTTGTGGATTTGTTCAGAAGTGTTCTGATTGGCTTGCAGGCTTAGATATCATATGGGCACCGGTACTGGCATTAAACGTCATAATGACGTCGTCCCACATGGTGTGCACCACCCATAACACATTTAATCTTATCTTCGCTGGGTTGAGAAATAGTGTAAAGAATAACGGTAACATAGAGGGGCCGTCTGTTCCTACAGAAAAGTTTAAAGCTTCAATAGGCTAATTGTTACCCCAGACTTCCATCTGACATTTTTTTCTGTATTCAGGTTCTGAAATAATGATTTGTGCATGAGCAATTAGTATGAAGGAACTGGATCACTCCCCGTCAATCAAAACAAAAGATCGTTACGTTAACAATGTATAAATCAAACGCTAGTATTTTTTTCAGGCTAGGCTCATTAAAAGTGGCGGCCGGCCTCCAAGACACAATTGTCAATTTTAATGAGTTGTGTACAGTATTAAGTTTTTTTTCGAATACATTACAAATATATATTCTGTGTATAGTTAGCTATAAGTTAGGTTAGGTGTGTAGGCTCTGTTGGCTTCATCCACGTACTGTAAATACAAATAATTAGTAACAAAGCCTAAATGTCTAATCTAACTTTCCCTAGGCTTACCGCCCACAAGATGGGTATGGGGTGCATAATAAATAAACTAAATTAACCTAGGCTTAACTATACACAGAGCAAGAATATTAATTTATTCTTAGAAAAATATTGTTTTGTTATACAGTGCAAAAAAAGGGGCTTTGGAGACGGATGATGATTTTGCCGAGCATAACATGAGGATAGAAATATTCCTTAAATGAACCTAGTTAAAACTTTTAACCTAATCTCACCTAAGCCTAACTGTGCACAAAATCGTAATATAGAATAATATTTAATTTATATTGAAGGGAATAAGCTAACATATTCGTCCTGTCAGCCTGGTGCCAAGTCTCAGTGGTTACACTGTCCACGAGTAACGTTAATTTAATGTTGAATCAACGTTGAGTTATTTATTTTATTTATTCATTTATATACAAGAAGGTACATTGGGTTGTGAGAGTACATAACATTGGTGTTCTTACAGTCTTGCAAAGCCTCTAATACGGAGAGCGTTTCCGACTATTATCAACGTTGCTTCAATGATAAATTAAGGCTCAGTGTCCCCCTCGACGCCTGAAGGTCCTTCGAGGGGAACCTTTAACTCCACTTCAGAATTCACCTGGGAAAATTTATCTGGAATATAACGCATCTATAACGTCACCTGTAGTTATACCACTTTTGATATTTCTTTATCTATAACACCACTCACCTGGCTATCACCGCTGATACCGCCACCTAGCGAGCTGTTGCAAGTTATGACTTAACTTAACGTTAAGTTAAACTACTTAATGCTGCCACATCCTTCGCCTTTGATGAATATAAGTATTTTACAGTGACCGACAGCAAAGGGTACCGGCCACGGGAGAAATAAATGTGTAAGTTAAAGATGGCGCAGGGAGGGGGGGGGGATGAGGAGAACCCGGCCGACTTCCAATATTTACTGGCAACTCTCTCAATGAATAACGGGTACGAATGGCTACACCAGATGGACAGTTTAGTATTATTATGTAATTTAGTACAATATAAAAATCCTAATCTACTCTTCCCTATCAAGGCAATATAATTATCAGTACTTGTCATGTTAGAACATAAGGGACCAGTACTCATTCAAGATACAGCAGTTTTTTTATTATTATTATTATTATTATTATTATTTTCTACCACAAACGTGGCCACACATTTACAATGCTTACCAGCATATATACATTTTCTTCTGTCCTCCATGGACAGGCAGTGATGAGGTTTCTGTGTAGACACCAGATGGTCAGTCTCCCTCCCTCCCTGTGGTGCTCAGCACTAACACTCCAGACTCTTGTCACCTCTGAGACACAGCACACTCTCTCCCTCCCTGTGATGCTCAGCACTAACACTCCAGACTCTTGTCACCTCTGAGACACAGCACACTCTCTTCCTCGTTGTTATTGTCGTTTTAGATTCAGCTACTGGGAACAAAAAGTTTCCAAGTAGCACGGGCTATGGTGAGCCCGTAGTGGACTTACCTGGCACAGGAGCGGGGCTGTAACGTGGTGTCCTCTCCCTCGATTGATGATTGATAAAGGTTAAGCCATCTAAGAGGTGGAACGGGCAGGAATAACCCGTAATTTTTCCTCGATTGATTGATCGATAAAGATTAAACCACCCGAGAGGTGGCATGGGGATGAATAGCCCCCTAACTTTTTTTTCCCCTCTCTGGTAACAAGTTTTTATACCCGTCTATCCCCAATTTTCCGTCGAATGGACGGATTTGAATCTAGTAACAAGGGATAGCCTTCCACCCTTTGAACTACTGGAGTTGAGAGAGAGAGAGAGAGAGAGAGAGAGAGAGAGAGAGAGAGAGAGAGAGAGAGAGAGAGAGAGAGAGAGAGAGAGAGAGAGAGAAGATTAAGCCACCCAAAAGGTGGCTTGGGCATGAATAGCCCATAAGTGGTGCAGGCCCTTTTGAGCCATTTCCAGTATCAATAGATGATACTGGAGATCTGTGGAGGTGCGACTGCACCCTGCGTGACGGGAGATGTCTCCCGTCACGGGAGACATCTCCCGTGACGGGAGACATCTGGAGGAGGGAGTGGAGTTGAGGTTTGTGTAACCTTACATAGCCTCCCTTGTGAATGTCTCGTAAGTCTGGTACCATCCCAAGTCTCTACTCAAGTCACCTCAGCAACTGTTACAGGAACAAGGGAAACCTTTGACAAACCGCTGGTTTCCTGTACCTGTCGAGACCACTATAGATAGTGGTCCTCAAATAAATAAACTCCAGGTTGGTGGTTTGTTGTTTTAAATTCATCTGCTCAGAACAAAAAGTTTCAAGTAGCACGGGCTATGGTGAGCCCGTAGTGGACTTACCTGGCACAGGAGCGGGGCTGTGGCTCTCCAGATTAGAATCCTCGCTTCAAGTGCACACAAAAACCTGGACAATTTTGAGAAGTTTGTAGATAGATGTGAGCTGTCAGGATAGATTATAGGAACTAAATATTTCATCATTGGAGGCGAAGACGAAGCATGGCATGATTACAACATTAAACGTCCCTTCTAGTGTCAACAAGACATTCACTCGCATAAACGTACCTGGGCGAAATGAAGCCAATAGAAGGTAAATTCCCAAATGAGCCAACTTGCCATTAGAAAACACAACTTCAACAAATGTGTAATGAAGAAAGTGTGGAATAATCTGGATGGAATGGCAGTGGAGAGGGACGCTTGACTTTGGAATGTGTCATCCACGTTGACACATTCGTGGATGTGAATGTTTCCAAAGTTGTTAAGAAATGTATGAGGTGTGGAACTAACTCCATCACTGGTTAATTTGTTATTAATATACCCTTTCACTCATTTGTATAAGATGTTTATTATATTAACCCAAAATTGCACACGAAACAATGTATATAAATTGTGAGGTTGAGTCAGAAAGGATCTGAGTATTTACTCGTATGGAAACAGGGTTGTTCTGTGGAACAATTTACCGGGTAACATAAGACGGGCCGAAAGATCAGAGCTCAACCCCCGCAAGAACAATTAGGTGAATACACACACACACACACACACACACACACACACACACACACACACACACACACACACACACACACACACACACACACACACACACACACACACACACACACACTCCAACAGTTGGAAAGAATCAACAATAAGTCATATATGTGCTGTCTTGTGCGAGAGCAGGTTGAGAGAATAGGCCAAGTAGGCTTCTGCAGTTTCTTTTATTTTTAAATTCTCGATCAGAGATTGAGATGAGGCTCAGCACCCGCCAGCT